CAGAAGTACATAAACCTTGTGAAAGCTCTTTACTCGAACACTACTAGTCGAGTGAGGGCTTATGGCGAACTGTCATCTGCTTTTGCAACCTCAAGTGATGTCACTCAAGCCTGTCTACTTTCTCCATTTTCGTTTCGCTTCATCATAGATCTACTGATGGAAATAACGCTCTCATCGACTGAATTCTTCGGCATTGATCTCCTACCAGGAGGTCCACTTATTGACTTAGAATACGCAAATGATATAGTCCTGTTTGGTGAAGACGCTGATAAAATGCAGAGTCTTTTGGTAGAACTGAGCAACAATGCCAGAATGTTTGGGATGCACTTCTCTCCCTCTAAATGCAAGTTGTTGCTTCAGAACTGGTCTGCGTCAACACCTGAACTAAGGATAGTGGGTGAAGTAGTCGAACGCGTTGACAAGTTCACTTATCTTGGAAGTCTGATCAGCCCTAATGGATTGGTGTCTGACGAAATCTCAGCACGGATTCGAAAAGCTCGTTTGGCTTTTGTCAACTTACGTCATCTATGGCGAAGGCGAGATATCCATCTACCAGCAAAAGGACGAGTATACTGCGCGGCAGTTCGTTCCGTTCTACTATACGGCTGCGAAACATGGCCTTTAAGAGTAGAAGATATTCGTAAGTTACTAGTATTTGATCACAGATGCCTTAGAAATATTGCTGGTATCTGCTGGGATTATCGGGTAAGTAATAGTGAGTTTAGACGCATGGTACTAGGGAATGATGGTAAATCAGTTGATGATGTTGTAAATCTTCGTCGAGTGTGATGGTTGGGCCATGTGTTACGTAGGCCCGAACACCGATTACCACGACGCGCAATGCTGACTAGTGTTGGGGATGGTTGGAAGAAAGTTAGGGGCGGACAAACCAAAACATGGTATCAGTGCTTGAAATCACTAACTTCTAGTCTGAGCTATGTTGGTAGATGCAGACTACTTGGTTGCGGTTTGCGTGACTATCGTAACCAATGGTCGGAGACTCTGTGTGACAGCTCAGAATCGATCACAATGACGTCGGTGTATACACTCTCTGTCTTCCTTTAAACTAAGAGAATAAAATCGCTTCATATCTTTCTTTCTACGAACTAATTGTTTCTTCCGGTACTATGCCCTTATATGCAATCTTCCTTTTATATATTACCACCATTGAATTAACTACTTCTATGAATCCGGTGTTCATCTTGTTGTGCCGATGCGGTATGGCAACTTGGACCGATGTATATATGTGCCTGGTCCTACGTTGTAGCTGACTGACTGAGTTTTTTCTTAACTAATTAGGTAAAATGTCACTTTTGTCATAGAGCCGTCAACGATAGGATTAGTCTACCAGATATTTAAATCCATAACTTGTTTATATCACGTTGCCGACAGATTTCTAAACGACTAATAAATGCAGAGACTTATATAGTCTATTCGAATGAGATACCTTTTAGGTAATCATGATGTGTTAAATGAAGAATTTAATTAAACGCGAGTATGGCCATTGATTATACTTAGTTATGTATTTTAAATAAGGCAATAAAAACTAGCTATACGAAATCTGATTTAATATACTTTTTGATATAGTATTCTTTTGTATCACTTTATCAGATAATCATATACCCTTAGATTAACTTTATTAATCAGAACTAGTTCCCTTGGCAATAAAACTATGTATTTATGACATCAGAGCTGCTTTCTGAACATATGTCCGAATTTTAAGAAGTTCACTGTTATAATCGTTTTCATTTATTTCGAGAATGCGTTTTATTAAGTTAAATGTACACCATTAGATGGTGGCCCAGTGGGCTAGGAGTGAAACACCAGTTGCGAGATCTGGAAGTCTTGGGTTAAATTCCTTCCAAAAGAGTCCCGTAGTAAAGCAAAACCACTTTCCAAGGCTTTTCGATTTTAAACAGTTTGTTTTCGAAAATCAGTCCCTGGTATTAATAATGAAGTTAAATAATCTCCACAAACTCCCTTCATAGTAAAAATAGAAGTCACTAAAAAATTGTTTAACATATTGGTTTGTGAAAAATGACTTATTGTCTATTTAATAATGACCTAAGAATAGTTAACGATGCAATTTTGTTTGCATGGCATCATAAACATATAGTTCCCTTAGTGTTTAACTTCTGAGAAACTTTACTGTCCTATATCAAACTCAAAATCGACAAGCATTACATTGACTGAATGATGAAACAAAATAGGGATTTTTTTACTCAGTTTGAAGATTTTTAAACATGTAAAATAAATACTTTACTTCACAATATGACAATAAATTATCATATTCATTCTTGAGAAACTAACGCTAATTAAGATAGGTATAGTTTTAAATTGAACACTAGATTTTATGCCTCTGGAAAATACAATGACATTCATTCAGTAAGTTGATATATAATATAAACTAAATTGACCATCAAGTTTTCTCATCTATTTACTTATCTTAATATGACGATAAAAATCACGCAATTATGCAATTTTAATTTGGTGAATTTATCGTGAGCTTTTTGACCTATCGAGAAATAAACATTTATTTGACGAGCGGTTGTCTATCTTCGTAAGATCAATAATATTAGCTAATAAATAACAACAATATGGACCGATAGTCATCTGAGTGATTCCAAACCTTCAGTTTATGATGTATGGTCAATATGTACAACTGAATCTTTGTTTATTTGTTAAACCTTGTAGTGTTTTCTAGATATTTTAGAAATAGCGTAGTTCCTAACTTTTAGTGGTAAATTTTATTACCAATACATTCGTAACTTACTAAATGAACACGATTTTTGAATTAGACTGCAGATTACAGTTATTTTGTGAGAACTAATCACAAGGTTTAATCACTGAAAACTGTAGAGTCGAAAGATGAACTGAACACTCTATCAGCTAAATAGACCTCGTTTCCGAATCAAAAACTCATAGCAGTATTTATATTTTATATTGGCGAAGAATTCCAAGTCGCTTTAATGTTTTCCTGGTGTTTATTTTTTTAAGGTTTAAGTCAGTTCAATAACACAACATGTACTCCTAAACGCCGTTATATAAACCACCACTTACTTTAAAAAATATTTATTTCTTTACACAATGACTTAACAACATACTTCGCACGAAATAAATTGTCACTAAGAAATTCCTCCGGCAAATTATTTACTGGTCAAGCGTACTTACAGAAACTTGAGTCACTTGAAATCTACTTTTCACAACTTGACACCCACCGATCTTTATCATAATCAACGTTTAATATAAGAAAGCTTAAAATTTCAAGCTCACAAATTCGCTGACCGGAACACCATCAGATAACCGTATATCGCTCGGTTTTTCAGTTCGGAAAGTTGACCGTTCTTTGATTGAAAACTATTACTCATATCCTGAAATTTGTTAAAAATATAACCTGCAAAGTCGTACGACTTCTAACGGATCATTGTATATTTGTCACCAAATGAAACGTGTTATCAATGTTAAATATAAGATAATTTATGTACACGTTTTAAAGTTGATCGTATTTCAACATCACTTAAAATCTAAGCAGACACATAGTTGATTGGTAAACATATTTTCTTATAGATAGTTCAATTAGAAAATTCCCTTGATATACCTGAATTTTTCTTTGATTAATAAATTAGCAGTGAGAGTAAACCACATATCTATGGACTGATATGGTAGCATAGTGTTTGAATCGCTAGACTATCCACCAAACAGGAGACCACCTGGAACTCCTCTTTCCCTATTTCTGTTCAGAAAGTTTGATTTTATGACTTGTAAACAAACTGTGTGATTTAAAACTAAATATGTCGGCCTGTATTCGATAAACAAATTGTAATATCGTTTTGGTTAGAATAAAGACTTACATTCCTTTCAGAAGTGAGCATTTATTAGGTCACTGATGTTGACGGTCAACCTTGACCATTATTCACTTAAGCAAATACATTCAGTTTTTGTATCACTCTGAAGAGCACCAAACTATATTTATCGCATCCAAATATTATATCGCAAGTGATTAGAGATTAAAATTTAAAGCTAACCAGTTTTGTTATTTCTTTGACAATGGGCACATATGGGCTCATATCTGTAATAGATAATGTAACAGATTTTTTTTACCATATACAAACTGAAGTATTCAAATGGATGAATACTTCCATAAACCTGACATCGTCGTAGTTAAATGTGATAATTCATCAGGTGAAAATTCAGTTCCTAGATTTCGTCTTCCTTACAATCATCAACTGAACCAATTAAAAGTGATCAGTTGCTATGACGCTAAGATATAATTTAGATGAAAATTTTGTAATGACAATCAGAAAGTGTTTATAACATTCTATATTAATTTGATGGACACACTTATCCTAATATATATTATAAATGTTATATTTTAGGAATTAACAATCACATGTGATATATTCGTACATACAGTTTATTATTTGTTATCAAGGTTACCTATTTTGTGCATGTTCAGTAAAAGTCAAAACAAGTACAATGATTCTAAATTGAAAGTTAAAAAATTATAAAAATCTTGTGATGTTTGAAAACAATCAGTTATAGTCTTAAAATAATTGTAGCAATATTGATAAATAAAGATCAAGGTAACCTCAAAAAAATAGTTTTATCCTGATTTTAAGTTTCATTAGTGCAGCTTCAACCATTAATTAATATCAGCTGTAGTATGAAGTAGCAGTACAAATTGTTTTCATCTGGTTTTAGAATTCTCACTTGTATTGGTAGTGTGGTGTGTGCTACTTATGTAGACATAAGTAGTATATGACGCGAGTTTTAAACGTAATGTCTGGCAGCAGAAAATGGAGGAAGATCAAGAAGGGAAGAGCGGGAACACAGTGGAATTTGTATGGAACCTCATGAACAATGAAAGGACAGACAATCGATTGATGTTTGCAACAGGAACAGTCAAGTTTGATATGATGGATTGTTATTTTGCAAATTAACGATTTACTATATGGTTGTTAGATTTTAATAACCAACGCTTGGTTGTTCTCACTGGTGATTTGCTTCACTATAGTAGTACTATGTATGTGTGTAGTTTTTAATCGGATACAAGAAGATATGTAAAACAATAGACTTTTGTAGCAAATTATTTCATCAGAATCTGATGTTGTGTTGCCTTACTAGATTATTCATCACAGAATATAGTCAAACTATGTTTAAAATGCGTATCCTAATTGATTTAATAATGACACATTGATTAAAAACAAATACATACTGCATGAAGCCACATCATGGTGCCTGACATATATTTCAAAGTATCTAGATGAAGGATCTTAAATGAATTGAAGTAATTATAAAAAATCATTTGTATTTTATCTCATCTCACAGTTATTTGCATTTAGTCTATATGAAGCACTAAAGTGATATACGTTATTGGTGATTACTTGATCGTTTCTCATCTTCATGTGTCCTTTATACTATTATACTGCCTATGCTAACAGCTCACCGTAACAAGTTTTGTCTTATTTCGTTTATTTTTTCAGTAACATAAGAATTTCGATAAACATTATAAGATTCTATGTACAAAGTCAAACTGTAAATCAAACTTGTTTGGACTGGATTAGCAGGAAACGACAAGTTTATAAATAAATAGCTCCAGGCATGAGGGTGACTCCTTGATATTAAACAATTCTTGTTATGGTGGCAGTAGAGCTTTTCCAATAAATAATCGCGATTTCATGGGACAGTACATCTTCTCAAGTGGAAGGATAAATAAAATTGTTTAACCATACACACACTTCATGGATTACCAACGATGACCTTGTTACCAGGTTTTATGTTCATTATGATTAAATAACTATTTCTCCTGATGGTAAATGAAATAACCTAATGGGTGTATTAATAAAAACGTCAAGTAGCTGCAATCCATTTTCAATCCCTAATATATAATCATGAGTCTTTTATCAGACTAAGCTGTTAAATTCACAGATCAAATATTCTCCTGATTTACGAACAATATGAATGCGGTGAAATAAAAAACATAATTTTCTATCAGCATAGGTAACTAGATATTTTACTACAAACAATATAAACTTGATACTCTACAAAATTAGTAAAAAAGAATGTACAATTATGAAATTCAAGAATGAAATGAGTTTGATGAATAAAACAGAGATTAAATCTACTTTTCTATAAGAACTAAATCTAGTGTTTTAGATTAAAGGCAAGAAAAATAATTAAATATTAAATAATCTTTGTAAACATTTAAATGATCGAAATCAAAACTTTCTAACAAATATAACAAAATTTAGGCAAATTGGTTTACTGACAACCTGTACATAGACTCGAGTTTTAGCCAGTAATACAATATGACTGGCCAGATAAATTTAAGTGAGTTGAGTTTTGAACCTACGACCAAAATAGGTTAACCATTAAGACAACGTTGCAATTTTAAACAAAATATGGTAGAAAATCCCCAATACGTAAATTTATTGCGACTTAGATAAAGTGTCTTGAATGTTTAGTAATTTAACAAAAATGTATGACCTAAATTGAAAGATAATAGCCAGAAAATTTCAAAATTAATGTCAAAATAAGTAAATTTTCTAAGAACTCGTCATAAAGGAGACTAAAAGAAAAACATTTATCACTTCATTCTGAAGAAGAAAATAGATTATCAAATAACTAACAACAATTAAAATGTGAAGGTCCAAATTAATATTCATTTCCGTTTAGGTCAGAGAATCGAATACTGAACAATATTTGACGTACACTATATATATACCAATAAAAAGTTTATCTTTTTACCACGAGAATCATTGAGATTAAATGCCATAATACAAATAAAAAATATCAAATCATGAGAAAGGTGAATAACAAAATAAATTATTGATCTTGGTGATACAAAAGGACTAGAAGAAATAAAACCTAATACATACAAATTGGTTAGTGAATTGATGAACAGATAAATCAAAATTAATGACAAAGAATAAATTTTAAGAAAATGCAAATGATGAGGGAAAATGTCTTGGACAAATGTTTAAAAAATGTTATGAACAATCTAGGCAAGTTGGAAATCGTAAGCGATTCGTAACCAGTTTAAAAAAAATAATCTTTCAAGTAAACTAATGCATGAAAAATGATATTTATTCATAAATGTGTTTTTCAGTTTTTAGACTAATGACTGTTTGACTGACAAAATACATTGATTCATTTACATATAGAAATTTCACAACCTACAGACTTGGGTAACCGATGGAATATTTTTTTCACACTGATGAAGTAGATTACTAAACGTTTTTTACAGTGTACTAAACACCATTCGTTTGTTTATGAAAATAAATCTGAACTTTATTGTTCTACTCAATAACCTCTTAATGCCACAATATAAATAACAGAATATCTGAAAAATTAAATTATCGTTGATTGTAAATAAAAACGCGCGATTTCGCTACCATATTTAGTTCACTCATTGTTAGAAAAACTGGGAAGAAAAGGTTGTCTATCATTCCTACTTTAAACATATTCTCAAAAAGACATAGGAATGAGGTCCCTTTGAAGTTTCTTGATTGACTAATTGCTACGAACATGTTTTCAGATGAAGACTATAAAGACTGCGGAACATCAATTTGCTATTTTTTTCGAATGGGTTGAGACTTCTTAGGAATGAAAACTCACCAAAACAGATGACTTAGAAGCCAGGATATGTAGGTGTTTCATTGAACCACATTATAGAAATACAGTGCTTAGTGTTTGATAAGACCAGTCAATTTTTAATTGTCATGCATGGGCAACTGCTTTAATTCCTACCTGATTAACTTAGCAGATCAGGAAGCACTGCCGTACCAAATTACTTCTTTTTCAAAAGCAGATTCACTCACTTGGCTTTAAACTACATTCTAAGTATGTGAAGCTAGTAAACTGTAGAAGGTGGAATGGGGTTTAAACCAGCGATTTAGTGGTTTCAAGTCGAACTCATTATTCACTGAGCAACAGGTCGATATGGAGTATCTGGTAAAGATTCTTGTGAACAAACAAAACAGAATTAGCTAAATGAGAAGGTCAATCGATGGCAATTAGAAGTGATCTAAAAGACAAGTGCATTACATTGCCTAAGAAATGGATAGATTTCCTATGAGATAGAGTTGTATATATATAAATGAGTATTTTTACATCTCATTTGGTAGCCCAATATACTTTCGCGTCCATTCTTGTGTTCTCGCTGGATTAGTCAAATGAGCGGTTAGTGTTTAGCACACAGTGTATCAGTATCAGATTTCGGACAACGCCCGTCACAAAAAATGATATTTCAGTTTCTAATAAGAAAAATTATGTTTTAAATTATTAAGTCATATTATAAATTACTAACAAAAATCACTAAACGTCAAAGAATATAGGAAAGTTGATTATTCATAGCAAAATATCAAAGTCCTAACATTGAGCATTCCATGTTATCGATTACGGGTCTTGAGTATAAACATTCACTTCTACGAAACATTACGAAATATGAAATGAATGATCAGTATCTATAGAAACATCAAGATAATATAAAATATGCAACAGATTCGAATTACACAATGATTCAGTTATCCTAATATGTACTTCAAAGAGTTTTTGTGTCCTAAATAACATCTAATCTGTCTAAAACAAATAGACGAACAATTTTGTCTAAAGTTGATAAGATGAAAATATAATCATAAAATGGAATAATCGCGTCTTGAATAATTTAACATAACAAAGCTAAATTGCTTATTACTATTGTAAATTGATACGTTTATTCTTCTTTAATGAAGTAAGAATTATAATTTCAATAGTAACAACAATAACGGAAATAAACTATGGATTTATGATAAGTCGGAAAATGTCAAAAGTCCATATTTATGTACCATTAAATAGTCTTTAAATTTATCACTTGTAAGAAAAAACATTTCATGTTCTCGATCACTTGATTGTGAAAATAAATCAGGACCATCAGGATCTCCACAACCTTCAAGATTATTAGATTCGTTGGTATGTTTTATTGTTTTATAACCAGGATGAACCATAAATTCGACATTGTTACAATTTTCAAAAGATGATAAAGACCGATCCAATGATTCTATTGTTTGATTTTTTCCCATCAGCGCCATTCCAATAAATTTTTGAGTATATCTAAAATGTAATGACAATGATGCTTACTTTAGCTAAACATAAAATGAACACTGAAGGAAGTGAATATTATTGAAGGAATATGCATATTTACGTTGCTTCCAATAACTGATCAATCATGAAGCATGTTCAATTGTTTCAAAATTTGCACTTCAGATATTAGTGAAATCAATGATAGAAACAAATAACTGACCAGTAATTTGACTGTCAAGAATGGCCTTAATTTCAAACTATAATCATATAGACTGACATACTGACTGACAATTGTACTTTAGCTAGATAAAACCCGACTGCTGATCAGTCGGTTAATCGTTTGCATATGATGAAAATCAAGATTTCTGAAACTTAGATCACAATTCATGAGTAAATAATGATACACAAATAGATATATCGATGTGTTATCGTGAATACTTTTACTTTTCGCCAGCAAACCAGAACGATTTAATAGCAAAATATATTGCTTCCTTGACAGAAATATATAACCGAGTCAACCAAGAGACCAATACAACACTTATTCCCAAAAAAATGTAGAATCGGCACAGTTTGGTGCGAAAACCAGTATTTTAGAAAAGGCTGACTGAAAATTCAGTTCGCACAAATTGTGTCAACATATATAAGCACTAGACACAAATTAGAAAACATAACCGTTTATGAGGTAACAGACATTCATTGACAAATTAATCTTTATACTATGAATGGGAATTTATGGATTTATGCAGTTTGAAAAACAAAATTCTCTACCTAGAATGTACATAGACGATTTACGCAATAATACGCCTATCTGTCAATGTATCGAATGAATGTGTGTATGTTGAATGTTTTGGAACACGTTTCCCATTATTCGTATAATCGACCAAAGTACAAAACTAGCAACTTTCAGATACACAAAAATTACCTTCATTCATTCAGTAAATACCATACTACTTTAACTACTGTCTTTAATACAAAAGTCAGACATTGTAACCAGTATATCTACCAAAAAAACATATCTAAAATACTAAGTGATTAGTTTGAATTTTATTGGGAATAATAAAGTATATTAACCAAACAGTATATGCATCCGATAAATCTTTATTGGTATAAAACATATGTAGTAAATTCTACCGTGAACCAACAATAACTATAATAACTACTTGTAGATTGAATGACAGTTTTATGCTAATATTTTACAATAGATATCAAACAATCATTACCAGTAAATACATCATGCTAATTAGACGTACTTTAAACCATAAGATGAAAATATTTCCTTTGCTTTCATTGCTTGATCAGATACTTCTCTATAAAAATTTATTTCAGCTAAAATGATACAGAGTTCAATAAAAAATTAACATAAAGTAAATGATAAAGCAAAACAAAAAAAGAAAAGAAATGAAGAGTACATACATGTGGAGAAAAAAAAGAAAATCATATCCCTCTCATCAATAAAATGTAAACTCATTATTACTAAAATTTATGACTATTCTCACTAGGAATGAAATGTAAAACACAAATAATACCAGTAAACAAAACTAAAATTGTGAGATACTACAAACACCAATTAATAATGTTCAGAAGGATTGCAAAATTACAACTCCCACTAAGTAAAGATAAGAAATTGGCAAAGTTAGATACAAGCATTATATGCTACGACAAAGTATGAATAATTCTAATGAATAGGCTACTCTGTCAAATTATACTTGCTTTCAATACGTGTTGTTCAATGCAATTCCTTCGTTATTACCCTACCAATATTTTTGTTTATATGAGAAACGTTGAACGGTTTCTGAATAATCACTAACATAAGAGCCTAGACTGTATGAAGGTTTCTGAATAAAGAATATATGGGAACAAAATAAAATAAATAAACATAAACTATAGAGTACATCATTGAATGATGAATAATCGAAAGAAGCGAATGAGTATAGCAGCGATTACATCATCTATCTGTCTATCCGTTACGACAGAAAACGTACATCTTCAATGGACAGTTATTAACAGAAAGGAAAGTAAAGGCTAGTACATTATTAGAAAACAAATTGGTTGAGACAAATTGGGAAATACGTTTGGGTTTTCAAACCTGATATGAATTCTTTTTCCCTTCTAAACATATCAATTATTCATCAAATTACTTTATTATACCTTATTACTGTTAATATTATGCTTCTGTTAATTTATTTACAATCAGTGTATCAATGGCAGACAGTTTGGTGCCAATACAAAGTTGTTAAACTACTCCCCTTTATTTGGTATATTAATATTTGCTATCACGATAGTTTATAAGTATTTTGCTTTTCATTCTACAAAATGATGTATAGACTGAATAGGGATTAAGTTAATTTCTTTACAGAATGAGTTCTAAACTGGAATATAAATTCATGAGTGTAGTCAGTTCTTTACAATATTCCACTTCATATATTGTAATTTATCAAAAATTAACAAACAGGAATTCACTCTTCAACATATTTGCTACACACACATAAATCTAAAATGGTGCATTATACAATAGCGTGTAGGTTAATAATAAATTATATATGTAGGCTGTTCAGTTTATTATGGTCGTCCATTTTGTTCATTATATTCTGTATGTGTTTCTCTATAAATTTCTGTCTTTCTTTCCCAAGGTAATAAACTACTGTCGAATTGCATGTGACACATAGGAAATAAGAATTTTTACCACTCCATCGTCTTACATGTAGTGATTTATAAAATATACAATTTTCATACAATAAATTTGAAATAATAATATATCTAAGAAAACTGTTCAATAGTATTTGCATCATAGGCATAAAGGCATGAGCTTAAATGTGATCATATTAGATAAACAGAAAAACAATACCCCCAGTCGACAAGTTCAAAATATTTACTTAAATTTTAGAGCAAATGAAAACACAAACATGTGATATTAATTCGATAATTACGTTGTAACGCAGAAATAATTCACAATCGTTCTTATACGACAAGGCGGTAACAAACAAATGGACATTGGTAAAGAGTATATTAAGACCTTTTAACTTGATGAAATAAGAAATTCTGACAAGATGAAAGCTTAGATATCCAGGCTCTACCAAAGGCTATGAAATGTTTTGATGAAACTTTGACAGGTCCCATTATTTATTTAAATTAACTTATGATATAAGAAGACTTATCAGTTAGTACGCCATGAATCATAAAAATGTACTTTATAGAAAAAGTGTTATTTTTCCACATTAATTCCGAGAAAATATTCTAAAGTAGATATCCCTTAAATAGAATGAAGGTTACTAGTTAACAACAACTGAATTCTGATGTTAATTACAGAATATCACAATTTCTAACTCCAATCCGTTTCGGGTGTAAGACAACCATCCACCCAGACAAGGGATGAAGGGTTGCGGAAGATCGTGGAACGATTGAAGTTGGATATTAACATCGTTGGATACCGACTCAGTGGCCTGGAGGTTAAGAGTTCGAGCGCGAAACCGAAGGTCTTTGTTTTCAGTCCCATGTACAGGATCGTGATGTGCACGGCTGAGGAGTCCCTCAATAGGATAAAAAGGCCGTTCAGTGGTTCCACGTTTTTATTGGTGGTCCAGCTTAAATCGACTAGTAAATCTAATTGTGAAAGTTCTTAAATAGTCAGAACTTGATAAAAAAAACAAATATTATAGCATTGATCCCACTTTATTATTTCTTACTAATTTCATTGAAGATTTTTACACATCATGGTCTTGCACTAAACATTTGATCGACTTTGTAATTGCACAAGAAGTCCTCTTATCCTATCTGAACCACATTTATTCTGATCATGAATCTTAAAATTTCACTCAACATATAAGCTGATTCTATATGAGTCACTTCAACAATAACAATCCTAAATTCACATGTTATAACTTTAAACGATATACTTTGTCATAAACCTGACCATTTTACGGATTATTAATTTAAATATAAAATTGTAGAACCTGAAGAGAATTTATTGAAAAGAATATTCTTCGTTTGTATATTAGTTTTTTAATATGATGGGGATTTTTAAACAAGTAAACCTAAATTTCTAGTCCTCTGGTGTTTCCAATGATTATATCAACTTTTGGTGGACAGTTACTATGAAATTTCTACAAGCAGATTAGAACATCTTTTATATTAATGGAGTAGACTAAGGTGGAGTATTTCAGTATGTCACAATGAACATTAGTATTAACAACAGATATCAGGTTGAGTAAATGTCGAATAATCCCAAAAGCATGTAATAAGTCAGACGAAAAGCTTTCTTTGCTAGTAATAAAACATGAGAATACCAAGAGTGATCAGGAGAAAAACTTACACTAAGATAAATGACTTTTGACAGTTTGTACCAAAGAATCTCCAATCATACAAGCTTTATGAGATTATCGCATCTGACCAACTCAATGTTCATTTACCAATTTACCTGCTTATGTGGAGCTAAGTATATAGGTCGTTCGATGCGTACTTTATCCAAAAGAAGAAGCAGAAACGGTTTAATAAAAAGTTTAATAATCGAACACCTTGTGAACATAGGTCAATCAGTCAAGGCGGACTCTGTGTTTAAATTTATCTACAAGGTAAGTAGAAGTCTTCCAAAGGCAGTCATATTGCATCTTATTTGCATCGCAAAAGCAATGGCCATACATCTGGAAAAACCAGAATTATGTGTGCAAATGAGATTGGTACAAAGTCTTCTACCATGGTCTTAATGTCTAATATCTTTTTCTTCTTTCTTTCTTCATACTCTTCTTCCTTTACAGCCATTTGCTTCACCTTCCATCTTCCCCTTAAACCTTCTATTATGGGAGAAGTGAAATTTTCACAAGTGCAATTACTAAACATTTAGTGGATAGTGGACGCAACTTGGATGTCTCAAAAGCATTTAAAATAATTAACGGGCAACGTACACCACTCTTACTATTTTGCGGAGACCACTGCCATCAAGCGCTTTCGACTGAACCCTTGCATATAAAAAGGAAGTGTGGTACACCTATCATTGCCATGGTATTACAATTATATTATTCTAACGCTTGTCAGTCACGTTATCCCGTTAATATGGTTTATAACTTAAAGTATGGTTTATATGCATACAAGCTATACATAAACTTTCACTCATGCGTTCCTTGGCATACACATAAGTATGTTTACCCTGTGAGCAAACAGACGTTATATGCACACCGGCAACATAAGTTTCACTTATGCATCCCACAGCACAGGTAAATTCAGCCACCTGGGAGGGTAAATGGTCACTGCTCCCCTTCGAACGTACTTGCTACAACTATCTTACGCACTACATGCATACCACTAGTACGAAGACTTTCTTTATGCACTTCATGAAATACACATATACATAACACTCTCAGGTAGGGTTGATGGTTACCTCTCCCTAGCATTTGCCACTATCTTTCTATTGTGTATTCGACCTTTTGTATTAAGCCATAGGGCAGATATTTAAGCTTACTTTCCTGTTGAGAACCCACACGTGTATCCTTTGGGTATACCTACATACACAAGCTATACAAACTGAAACCCATATAATGTATATACATAAGCATACACATCAGGTAGCCCGCGAGATTTAGTAAGCCCCGAGTTGGAACCCGAATGATCCAGTATACAGAAGTGGTGAATTAGTCAGATCTCCGCCGACCGCCCAAATTACCTACCAAGGTTGCCCTCACTACCAAGCAGCACCGCGAAAGGGCTTTGATTTGGACTTTGCTGTCGACTATTATATTGAATATGTTGATTTTTCTTGTTTCTTAAGTTGTTGCGAAGTAAACTTCATTGATTACAGTATGTAATAACACAGTTTATAATGATAGGCCTTTTGCATCTGATAAGTCATGAAATATAGCGAATTTGTTTTATTCTGCAAATGTTGTTCACGTTTTATTTAAATTTATCAGGGGATTAGGATGTACGAAATTTATTTATGTGTTTAAATGAATATAATCTATAGCACTCTTTAGTTTAGTAAAAACTGATAACTATTCGCCTGTTTATCTTTGAACGTACTTCGTCTCTTCTTCAAATTCAACTCAATATTTAGGGCCAATTACAAAAGCTAAGGAAAATAATCCAAAAAACATTGTGAATGTTCTTAACTATAGTCTTATTACTGATCACATATAATATTAAGCTTTAGCTCTGTGCATAAGATTGCTACTTGCATTATGTTAATCTGGAATAGTTGTAAGTTGAGCACTTTTTAAACACATTTTTAAGATCTTCTGTCATTTTACTCCCTTTATTTTTTTACATACTTTCCTCGCTACATGTTGTTTTTATGAAACTAATATAAAGGAATGGAATAAATGCTAATAATCTTTATAATTTACAATTTAAGATTTTACAACTTTAGAAACAATGACTTCAAGTTAAATAGGTTTGTTTTCCCATTTTGTATCATTTATGCTTTTTTATTACATGGTTGTATGAAAGATTACAAACAATTTATATTTTTCTTTATAATAATAATTCTATCCTTAGTAATTGAACTTAAACTTCTCATATGATTTAAAACGACTGTGTCTATGTAGAATGTAATAAAATGTATTCGAAATACAATAATACTAAGCATTCATAATTATAATAGAATATTTAACATATATGGAATAATTACAAAACAATTTAACTATAAAATTATTTACATAAAGACGAGATAAACTGAAGGTCAATAATAAACCATTTAGTTAAGTCAAACGGATAGTTAACAAGAAAGTAAGGTTACGTACACTCTATTATCACATTTTAAATGTATATTCAATTATCAGCCTTCTAGATATGCAAATTTCTATAGATTTAAGTAACAAACTATATCACTGACTAAATAAATGACAAACGACACAGTAGGGAAATGAAAAAATCAGCGGAATTTACTCATATATGTAGGAAAAAGATTTAATAAAGTCGAATGGAAATGCCAAAGTGAAACTATTGATCTGCGTTTACAGTACAAATATATGACACTGAACAAAGAGTACATTGTTGCATATATTTACAATTTAATGTGAGTAAATATTTTCAATAGTATGAAATAACAGTGACACAATAATCGCCAGTGGCAATGTATTTTCCCATATGCAGAATGTTCGTTTACTAAAAATCCTTCAAGTTTGTTACTCGCTCGGGCTATAAATCAGTTTATTAAATGAGATTTTATTTCACATTTATGATCCACGTCATATTACTACCAGCATGAAAACTGTTGACAGCTTCTTCTGTTCAACAACTTTTCTTCTTATTTCAGAACAAAAATTTAAAAACACAAAATTCAAGTAACCGGAACTGTCTAACTGTGATAAATATCATCAAATGAGTGCAATCACAATGAGATATCAATATTAATCTTAAATGAATTTACCACATATGTAATTCCAACGGCTTTCAATCTGAACATTGTTTTCAAAACAAGACTCGAAGCCTGAATAACTGATCGTCTTCTGATACCTCTTTGTAGGTTGAAGGATAAGTAGCACAGTCAGTCAGCTAATAACATACTTCAAATACTTAAATAAACCCACGAGTAATTACGTAAGCAAGCCGATAAAGATATCAGAAAAACATGAATAATAAGTCTCTCGATTTCAATCTAAGCAACAATGAAAATAGAAAGCCTCCTTACAGTATATTAATCTACTGTTACTCTCTTTCTGCATCAACATAGTACGCGTTATTCACTTCTCAACAGATACCATCACACAAGTAAACAAATAATTGAAGAAATAACAAAAATGACATAATAATCCACGTACATCAAAATAACAAATACACGTTTCAACTTACATTCAGTAATACAACAGGATGTTTCTGGAATATATTCAATGGGAACACGAATCCATTTAATGTCAAGCCGAGAGATAACTCTAGCTACGACCACGTCAACCCCTTTTTAAACGAAAACAAATCAGAGAAGTAACCTGAACAACGAGTAACAAAATATTTACCATCTGAATGTCATATTTTTCTAACACAGCATGGACGAACAATCACTGTTGTTCCTCAGAAGCTAGAATAGGAGTTTTTTACACCACACTAGTAGTACCTCTTATTTTATAAAATAACCAAAGTTGTATGTGTGATTACAGAGTATTTCTATTGTTTAAAACGATGTAGGATTTCAGGCATATCAGAAATTCGAATCCAAATACCGTGAATAGACATATACTACTTACAACACAACAAGTAGCTCCATAGTTTAACGTAAAAAACTATTTAGTGTAGAAACAGATACTGAAATGTAGTAAAGCTTCACACGGAAGTTTATTTCTTAATTAAAAGTCAGATTCAAGTCTTTTGTACTCATGAAATTATGAATCAACCAACCTATTTGTTCGATGATGGAGGTTTTTAGACTGAAAATGATCATATAAATGCAAACAAAGTTAGCACTGATTTGATCCTAAATTATCAATATGTCGTCTACAGGATTCACATAACTAGAATTCTGACATGAAATACAACAGAGAACATTGAGATAAACATGTATCATCTCCAATCCGAAGAAAGGAAACTCAGTAAATAAACACCGAAAACTGAAATCGTTCCAAGGATGATTTCCAGAAGGCTGACGTGACAAGACAACAATCAGATAATTTCCTGATGCACAAATCAGATTCGACATGATGAAGAGTACGAGTCTGCAGCCCTTTCAGAATGTGTAGGCAAATCGGTGTCAAAAATGATTGAGACATGTTCAATGTACTACTTGCACATTCAAACTGTTGATTATTGTGTGAACATAAAGGAATGAGAATAATAACGTAGTTAGGAGCATCATTCTTAAAAATCTCACTCAACCTATTCATAAATTTTCTCTGAAGGTCAAGAACTGTTTGATTCTTTAATTTCTCGAAAATATAAAGACTACAAATTAATCTCACAAACTGTATGAGATTCATGTATACTTCAAAGTTAAATCGAAATACACACCTGGCAAAACATGAACATGTTGATGACCATCGAAATGACTGGGAATAGTTCCAAAAACATCTCGAAATGCATTTATTTGTGATTCCAGTTCAAATTCAACCTAAAGTACAATACATTGTACATAAGATTTATTATTATTTAAAAACAGCTTTCCGAGAACATTTCAACTAGGTAGATAGCAGAAGACTGGATTTCTAAAATATAATACAAATGTCAAGTTGTGTGGAAAACAGATCTTAATTCTACAACCCCAAACCTGAACATCATCTACTAATAAAAATGTTAGGTTTATTACTGAAGTGCCCCAAATTAAGACTAGATAACTGGTCAGTCCATTGCTCCCATTAATCTCAATCCTCAAAGCGTACACATACTATCATAACTGGCAGTGATTGAATCGATATTCTAAGTAAGAATACCCAGAACAGTTCAATCTAAGTCATATAGAACGCGATGACCGCAATTGAAAACATTATATTTAGAATTCGCAATAAGCGCGGAATTATATAAAAATAACTATTATTGTATACGAAAATCAAATATACCATTGCAAAAAAGACACCAAATATTAGCCTTTGAATAGGTATTTAGAATACTGGAATTTTCATTGAAACAACATAAATATAACGATAGTTTATCAACCAAAAACAATCGTTTTGCAAAAACAGCTCATGAAACTCACTTCATTCATGTGAATGCTAGAGAACACCAAATTTCTTCGAAATTCATGCTTACCAAGGAAACAGCCATGATCATTCAGTAAGCTTTGTACAAACTTCGTCTTGGATAAAGGTTTTCCTTCGGTCAAGTTAAAGTGCAAACCTACAAATAACATCAATCGAGACCAGATAATGTTAAATGTTGTCTTAAAGACTTGATTAGATATGGGAACTGCATTGAAAAGCACATTCACATCACTCCTTCATCGATCTGGAAACTTAAGCCGATCACTGTTTCTACAATTTTACTGATTATCTTCACCATTTGACATTTTAGCTCATGCATATTAAAACCAAGTAGCGTTCTGTTCTCGTTGAGCGTGACTTTTACTGGAAGATATTTACGAATTTCATCCAACATTTTCACCGGTTTTCAGAGGCCAAAATTCAATTTTCATCGATTTTGTTACAAATTCAGGACTAAATTGTCCTACATTTATAAGAAGTGATTGGTAGTTGAAATAAAAACCGTTGGAGTAACTCATTTTGAAGACACATGTGTTCTTTCGCAATATATGTCAATAAAGGATAACATGAACTTTATAACTACACATGAAAAAACTAATCATCTGCATTTATTACCCTACAGATAATAACAATATAATAATTTGGCTTACTAAATGCTAAACTGAAAATCAGGAGAAACTTATAAGAACTAAATAGATTCGTTAAATTCAGTTTGTTGAGTTCAGTGACAATTGGCTCACACGTGACTGAAAAACTATTATTGGCGGTGCATAATCTTAGGATTCTAGATAACCACGGATTTACATTTGTCCTAAATAACTTGTTACATCAATTACTTGCTCGAATAATTTCTGCAGCAGAAATTTTTTGATAGAAAATGAGGAACTAGTCATCACCGATATCTACCTTCATTCGCATCACACGACTTATTTGTGGATTCGTAGACAAGGTTGAACACTAAAAATTCCTTAGAAACTTAAAAATAAGGATGACCGGTTTTCATTGCTAAAGAAGAATTATAAGATACTTCGAACTAAACATACAATGAAGTATCAAAATTGAAATTCTGCAGATTAATCATTTGAAACAGTCCGCAACACTCTAAAACGGTTATGAAAGTTTCTATTTGTATTAGCATTAAATACTATGGAAGTATGTAGCCAAAATCTTTTGTAAAATCTTGTTATGCTTAGATTTGATACTTTTTCTTCGCTCGCTTCAACGTACAACTATGAAACGCTCCATTCGATTAGCAACATGGCTTTCGTTTTGCAAAACGTAGTCGGAAACACAAATCAATTCATTGAAAAGGTTTTATTTAAGAGAGAAACACCCGCAAACTTCAGACACACCTGAAACTCTCACGACCAACAGATCAAAGGAATGAATTAAATAAGATATATCTGAATCTCAAAAGCAAATTCTATTACAACTTCAACTCCAAATTTCGCATCTCATGTTTCAGTTTTTGTACCATAACATTCCATATTCTATTGAGACATATAGTGATTTAACCAAACCAACATTCAGGTTACTCACTTGTTCGTAATGACGTGAGTCGAATAATTTGTAGTTACAATACATTCTTAACAGCCACCTTTATTGAAGTTTTCATACGTGAGATCTAGACTTATGTGCCACGTACGACTAAAGTAGATATGATAATACAAATTCATTACCACTGATGGTCTAACTACCTCTACTATTGTGGTATTTGGCCTGAAAACTTCATCTCTACGTGCTAATGGGGTCTGGCAACTTGAACCGACGTACATACACACAGGCTCTATGTTGGGACTATCTGAGTAATGTAGGGTCAGTAAAATGTTACTGAACCCTAGACAAATCATCCGGCAGTTGGATCACTGAATATCGGACAGATAATCGATCCCTGTCAAAGTTAAGGACAACCAACGCGCATCAGCTAATCGCATGCTATGGGACTGGTCAATGCGGTGGTGGCCTCACTATCTTCTCTGTACTCATTTCCATAATAACGTTCTTTGTGTTGTACGGCCTTCAAAGTATCCATAGTACCTTGATACAACGGAGTAATCCACGTTAGGTGCTGATTGCGAGCCGTGATTTCGACGTTAGCTGTTGGTCACACCGTTCCCGTCTAACTCAAGTAGACCCTCAATCATACGACATAGATCATCTACGTTGGTGATCCACACTATGCTTCGAATAGGTATATCTGACTCTCAGTGAGTAGTTTACAACCCACTGGAATTAATGAATGTATCAAATTAGTAAAAGTGAATTGAGTGATTTGGGTAGTAGGTAACTACCACAGTTTATTGAATTGAGGTTTTTCACGATAATTGGTGTCATAATATGTATATCGTGACTGCTAAGAAAGTAAAACTTCTTAAATCACTCATATACTTTCCGAGAGCGCGTTTGTTTGTTTATTCAAGAGCAACGTTTTTAGTGTGCCAACACCCTAAATCAGAAAAGCTACTGGAGATAGAGAAAGAAGTATTGATATTTGGCGAGACTCTAATTTAGGGACGAGCCAATCGGAAGCGTGTGAGCCGTTTCAAGGTCACGGAGCCAAGTTTAACACCTGATGCTCACATATGATCGGTTTACAGCGGATTTTAGAGAAGAGGTGATTATTGAGAGGCTACAAGGGATGGGATTACTAAAAAGTTCTTGTACGTGAGACTGCGGTTATCATATGACCGCAGTAAAGTGTACAAACCACCGTGGTGAGATTATATTGCGTTGTCCTTCATGTTGGATGAGAAAGTCTACTAAAACGAGGACTTTCTTAGCTCGATTGCTACTGAAACTGAATCAGATTATAATTATAGTTGCAAATTGGGCAATAAATACACCAGTAACACTGGATGCGGCGTTTGCAGTTGTTTATGAAACTTCAGCAGTCCAGTGGTATAAGTACTGCCGTGACATATGTGCAACTAAAATATCACGTATACACCAATCATTCGGAGGAGTAGGATGTATCGTGCAGACAGATGAAACGGCAGTGAGAAAGCTAAAATACAACAGGGGACGTAGTATAAAGTAGGATTGTGTAAGTAGCATTTCCGTGAATATACTCGACAGGTACTTGGAATTTATGACTTTTTATATCGTATGCAATATCATTTCAAAACATCTGAAACTTTAGCAAACCTTGATAAGTTTTTAAATCACGTGAAATAAGTATATTCACTGTAATCCACTAGTTTCTTCTAATATATTTCTACGTTATACTGGCTGTCTTCTGATTGGCTAATATTCTCAAGGTCACTCAAAATTCGTTCAAAGGTCGTCCCTAAATTAGAGTCTCGCCTGATATTTTATTAAACGAGAAGAATGAGTGGAAATTTGAGCAAGTACTGACGAATGTCCCATGCAATAAATGGGATAAAAAAGCCAGTGCCTCAAGTCTCAACAGAAGTCAACGATAAACAAACTCAGTGAACAATGTGTAGATATGAAGTTCATATCGGACAATATTACCTGGGATGTGTCTATTCCGCGAGATATGTGAGAACAGTGAGGATATTTGTGATCTTTTATGATCTGGACAGGAAAGCAGACTTTTTGCAACTGCGCCATTCATTAGAACTGAAACGTCCGATACTCCACGATCTACTGTTGAAAGACAAGAAACAATGCCCTGGTCTCTAATATCCGAGTAAAACCCATCATCTGCATTTACAATAATTTTAGTGCTTCCAAATCCACAAGATCCAAATGCCATATAATAATGTGAAAAATATGCTGTGATTTCGTACTGTCCGATATTATAAAACTAAAAGTGAAGACAAAACACTAAACATATTGCTCATTTTAAACTATAAGTTCATTAATGAATAAATTTATGCATTATTATCTTTACTTTGTATTAGGATAAGCCATAACGTGTTGATGCTTACACGAACTAACAAGACCTTAAAGAGGCAAAGTTTTAGGCTTATATCTATCGGCATGGATCACAAGAAAAATCTACGACACAAATGTCTAAAAAAACCTCTCCTTCTCACGAATATACATACGGGTTTCAAATGTTCTCATATTCCCTCCACTTTAGTGGTTAGTCCCCAGCATGGCAACTCACGAAATTATTGAAGTTGTCAGACTGAATATACTTTATGATTTGAGATTTGCGAAAAAGGACCTATAATTCCGCCTAGTGGAAATGACTATATTGAATATATCAAACCGAAATCCTAGAAGCCTTTAACAGTTAAATACATATCCTATCCAGTCCACTATTAAAATTTTGTGACAATTTCTTCCGTTCGCAAAAACCTTTCTAAGCCATCCCATCGAAAAGGGCAACTGAAGATATATATATATATACCTAATTTAACTAATATATCTCTGTAATAACGTCCTCTGCGTTGTACAGCCTTCAAAGCATCTATAGTACCTTGATACGTCACTGGGGTAGTCTACGTATGGTGCTGACCGCGAGGTGTGACTTCGACGCTAGCTGGTTCGTCACACCATTCCCGTCTAACTCGAGTAGGCTTCCGATCATTCGACATAGATCATCTACGTTGGCGATCTACAATATCGACAGCACTGTTATCACTATGTTACTGATATAGTGAATAGACACTCGGATACGCAAACAAATTTACTGTTTTATGCAGAATTACACAGTGACTGGAAAATACGAAAATCAAATATTTGATGTATGTGCTCACTTTCACTTGTCCTTTAGATACAATATTATTCTTCCTATTCTGTTATTACTCTAATTGCTCTCTGTTTTTCTCCCTCTTCATTCTGTTTCACTATTTTGCTGGCAATAATTCCATTTCAATTTCCTACTACATGCTACTTACATCAGTTCGGATAAGTAGTGTACACCACGCTCGTCCTCCGTCAAAATTATCGCTCTTGCAGTCGTTCTGCTCATTGTGTCGCTTTCCTTTTTCACGGTCCGTGCCTCTCCTGTTGTCGAAATGTCGAGCCCACAGGGGCACTGACCTCCAAAGCTTCGTCAGACGGCTGTGCCATCAACAAACGATGTTTGTCCAGCACCCTAGAGATAAATATTCCAAATCTAGAGAGAGCATTTGATCAAAAACTAAAAATTTCATACCAGGAAGTTGGAACAGCATGTATTAACCATGAAGCAGTGAAAGAGTTTGATTTCCAGTCAATGAAAATTTCTATAATTTGCTTAGTCGTCGTGATGAAATATATTCACGTTGTCTTTCAAACTTGTGTTTGTATTATAAATGTTCCCAATCTCCACCGGAATTGTGAAAAATGATTCAACAAAAAGTTTCAAAGCAGGTTACAGAAGTGAGTCCATATTTAGCAAACGTTTTTCCTCTGGTAAACTTTACATGCATAATTCATGTATTTTTTGTCACCTTAAATGCTCCAAACAAGGCAACATGGTTCACATCCAGTTGGTTTGTAAAACAACTTTCCACTTCGCCTCAAGTAAAACTAAACTTTGTATTCCGGATCCTATATGTTTGAATGATTCTAATAATCGCATACTATTCTTATTTACAACTTCTAGCAATTCAATTCATATTCAAAAACGATTATATTTGTCCGGTGGTGCTTTACAAGGTTTTATTGTTGACCCCGGTAGCATCAAATCCATAATTTTAGTTGGGAAGTTGAAGTCAATAAATCCCGATGCTTTTATTAAACCTACCGAAGTTTTCATTTCGAGTGTTACAGGTCATAAACTTGCTATTCTTTTTTACTGTAATTTGCTGATTGGAGTCAGTAAATCTACAATCGTAAATTGTGAATTCCTCATCACTGATTGTGAGCCATCTATCCTTGGTCTAGAAAATTCAAGAATAATTCGATGATATCTTTCTTTAATAATCTCTGAAGATGGTTCGAATGAAATGCTTGACCACTCGTTAAATAAGGAGTCCAAGTGCGAAACGTCAAGATCAACATATGCAAACAGGATTCACACAGACAAGAAATATTTGGGTTATCCATTTAATCTGGCTCAGAATTTTTAGGACATCTACAGCTTATTTTTGTCGGGTTTATGTTTCACACTTGTTTCAATGATGTAGATCTTCTCACCCATTTAGTGAATTATTTGTATTTCGAGATTCTAAAATTAAGTTATTACAAGCATTTACTGACCCGAATGCTCTTTGTATCAGAATATGTGTTTTAGTAGTGCCGAATGTTGTATAATTCACTAGGACATGATATTATTTTTGTACGTAAGGTTTCAAGTATGTACTAACGAGGTCTTTAATCTGTCAGGATATACGCTTATCAACTTTGTTAAGTGAGTCCCAACGAATCTCGGAGGAACGAAATACCAGGAACGCTACACACAGTGGTAACTAATTCACTCCCAACAAAGACAGTATCGCAAGATAATAATAATTTATTCTCAAACAAGTTTTTCACATGAGGCATGCCAGTTTACATGCAACATCAAGTTGCTACAAATGATACAATTCCCAACTGTAACAAATTACTTAGCTGGGTTGATAATTTATAAGATATGAATGTAGATGGTTTTAATCAGTATCACAGTTGGCGCGCTTCATGAAAGTTGCGTTGCGACGTGCAACCGATGATCGATAACAGATTCATGTGACGTTGGGAGCCTCTAGAAATCGCAACCTTATATCCCTTTGGAATATTTGAGGCTACAATAATTTCCACCACTTGTCATATGTATTCATTTATGCTTACGGTGAACAGTAAATTAGTTATCTGATGCCATGTTTTGTCAGTGGTATATTTAATCAAATATGTAGTACGTATTGCTTAACTCCTATTCTCACGTTATCCTTATACCGCTATTAAATAAGACGGTTCAGCACTCATCAAATAGGCGTTGAAGAATCTGGCTCTGAGCCACGTTTAAGACCTATATTCGCAAATTGTAGCATGTTGGGCTAAAGTCAAACGCGCGAAACAGAACTTCAAATTACTAAGGTTTAGGTGAATCTAGATTCCTCCAGTTTGAAGCGCTAGAGAGCGCTGCTATGTAGAAGCGCAAAACTGCCTTTCGAGGAGTAGACGGTTCTGAATTCTACAGCCAGAATTTCAATACCCTCACCATAACGACTGTGAATACCCAGCACATGGAAATCCCAAATATTGTATACGATCCAATACCTCAGCTCCATAAAGCTGCCTAGAAGATAAAGTCTGATTTCCGTCACTGCAAAGAAAAGGCTGATGGCATGTTTCATTTTGTTCCACTCCAGTTTATTTGTTAAGTATTTCGACACCGGATAGCCAGCTATTGTTACAGTACAGGAAAAGCGGTTCTTCGTAGAAAACATGATTACTACTGATAATATTAAATTATTTTGACTTAGCTCCCGAAGGTTAAATTTGGGTAGTTGAGCCTGTCACAAGGGCCTTAATTTGATTGACCCACAGAAGCTGAGTAGCGTTGTCCGTATTACTACAGTGATTATTTCAGTTACTCTTGACAACTTACTACCTTCGTCTGATGGAGTTTCAGAACCTGAAAATAAAACGAAAACCTGCGCAACCTGGTGGGAGCGAATGAAGGCGTTAAAATTTTTGGCCAACTGTGGTGTTTGAATGAACTAATGACTCCTTTGTACTTGTTGAATGTTTGATTTCGAATTCTAAATACAGTACATTCGCTAGTGCTTGTGTAGTACTTCTTGATTCAATTGCGTTATCCCTGGGATTCTTAGTTCATACTATAATTCAATTACTCTTAATTATCATATTGGCGTCGCGATAGGACCTGCGATGGAACAGTTAGATATTCATTCAACTTCTGAAGCTTTTGAGGACTATTTGGAAAGATTTGAAATCTGGAGCATGACCAAGAAAGATAATGAGGATATTAATATTTTGGCACATTTTCTCACATTCATTGGAAAAGAAGCATATGGCTTATTAAAAATTTTGGCTTCACCGGAAAAGCCCATTTCTCTTCCTTATACAACTCTCAAGGAGCCACTTCTAGACTATGCTAAGTATACAAATTTCGAATGCGGTAAAGGGAGATTTCGTAAAATAATTTATGAGGATATAAAAAATTCCACTACATTACATCACCCCATCCTAGTGCATACTCAAGGTTGTGCAGTTCACGAAGATGGGCACAAGTTTAGTCAATGTTTTTCTTGTGGCAAGTTCCACCCTTTTAATTCATGTAAATTTCGTAATTGTAAGTGCTTTAAATGTGGTGATGTCGGACATATTCAGTCAGTTTGTAATACTACTGTTCATCTTGCTGCAACTAATATTAAGTCTTTCGATTCTGATTCTATTAATCTGAATATTTATAATGATCATTTATCTTTATCGACGATTTCAAAAGACAGTTTAGAGTCATATATCAGTTCAGAGTTAAATGAAACTCAAGATTCTTGCGAGACAACAATTTCTAATGAATCAACCTATCAGATTTCTCATGTTATTGTACCAGATATGGTTTTTTTTAATGATTCACATATTTCTGGTGAAATTCCATATCAATTATTGTTTATCTTTATCATAAATTCACCTCCAATGTTTACTCTAGTCCAATTGAGAAAGATGTTTTAAATGAAGCCACATTATTCATAACTTGGGGATATAAAGTTCCGAGATTATTTCGTGGGGGAGGACAGTCTGAATGTCTATGGTTCAAATTCTAGGTAGCAGTACTTTCAGTACTCAACCGACATGATGATTGTACACAATCCCAGAAATCAAGTGAGTCTGTTCCGATTTCAGTTGTTTATTCTAATAATAATGAGTGCATTCTAG